TTAGCTAAGTATTCTGCGTAGTTATTTGGACAGTTTTGAGGTAGCAAAATTGTCTTGACATTAATATCTCCTTCTTATTTCACAGTGGATCACTCACTGTTTTAAGTGGTCAGCCTGTATATGGAGATTACTGAGCGAGAAATTGTTTATAGAAGTTGAATCATTACACAGTATCTTAACGCTGCAGCGCGCACCTTTGTGCATTTGCCCAGCACAGGATGGTAGTTCAGGCTGCTGCAGCCTCTAAGTATGTGCATTTTAAAATGAGTGCTATCGTAGTCCTTTTCATTAGTTTAAAAGTAGTTGGTTTTTAAATTTTAAGACTTTTTGTGTGGGAACTGCCCTGCTGCTCACGGGAGTTTGTCGGTAGGAGAATGGGGTTATGTGTGAGGTCCCTGCATACACCCCTTGGTACTTCCAAGCACTAGGAGTAGAAAGCTTCCCTTCTGGTACCTGAAGGAGTTGCTGGGTCTTTAATGTATGAATGTCTGAGTAATTTCGTTTACTCTTCTGCTTTGCTTTAAGAAAGGATTTCTGTAATATTGTCACGGACCTATTCTTGTGTTTCCTACCTATTCATTAAAGAATGGGGGATTTACGGTCTTTCAGCGTGAGTCAAGACTACAGAATATGTTTTGTGTTTTTTTTTTTTTTCTTTCAGTCACAGACTCTTCCCATTTGTATTGTGGCTGTTCAAGATCTCCCGCTTTTTTGAACCATATGGGCAGGCAGTCAAACATGAGATGATGTTTTTCTGGACTCTTTGCAGCTCATTAGTGTTATTCATGTTGTGAAACATTCTTTTAAAGCAGAATTTCAAAAGCCATACTCCACATGAAGAGTAGGAGCCACTGCTGCACTGTAACTTAATAACATGCTTTACATTATTGCCTTTGTTGATTGCTGGAAAGGTAACCTGCTAATGAATTTTTGGAAATTCACTTTCATCCTGTTTGAAATAATGCTTCTGAGAGTGGTTATACGTTGAATCCAATCCAGCTGTCAAAATCCAATGCTCTGTCGAGTTTCCTTAGTGTTCATTTAAATATTTTAAAATAACTTCCCCCTTCATTATAATCATGTGCTTTTCAGATGAAACTTGTCTTCCTCATTCCAACCCTAGAAACTCTGCTTTTCTGTTTCACTTTTTTTTTTTAAACAATAAGCTGGTTAAATTGGTGAGAGGAAAAAACACTGTTGTCTTGGCATATCCAGTCTTTGTCCTTCTTTTCAAACAATGGCTTTGGCTCTAAAATAGGAAACAGGAAAAAGTAGTATATATGTTATATCTGTGTGCATATGTACATACAGGATATGATAGTTTCAGTCTTTCTTCTCAAGCAGGTGTGGTAAGGGTGATTTGGATCCCTTTGGATTTTTTACGTGATTGCTTTGCCTCTGTGTTGTCTGGATAACCTGGTCAACAATTTCTTCTGGCTCAGTTTGTTAAGAATAGTTTGTTTGCATTATTAAATAAAATGTTTCTTTTTGCATCTAAAAATGGAAAAAATGTAGATGGGGTTTCTAGATTGCTTACATACAGCACAGAGCAGTGCAGTTAAAGTGCAAGAATTAAATGTTGACTGCCCGGTGTTCAGCGCTGATCACTGAAGCAGACATGCATGTTGTAAAGCACGTAAAGAAGCAGTTCTGTTGCAATGTTGTCCTTAATTTCTTTGGGGAAGAGTCAGCCTAATTGGAAGACCAACCAAAGGAAAAACAGCAATCCCCCAGACACCCTCAGAAACCCAGTAAAGCAATAAAACTTGAAATGGAGTCTCTCAGGAATTAATGCCTGGTTTAGAAAGATGGTCCCCGATGAGCTACCAAGTCATCCATATAGTCCTTAATCCTGAGGAATTGCCATAGTGGATTATCATTCTTCTTGTTGTAGCTGAAATAACATAGGTTTCTTATGTTAAATATGTGTCACTTGGCTGTCTCTTGTTCAGTATTTTTCAAGTGCTTCTGCTTGGTACCTAAAAAGGTTTTAAAGCAACTCCTTTACTCCTCACTCTACCACTTTAGTGAGGCTGGTATCAGTGCTGCTAGTAGCATTTATGTATCTGAAGGGGAAGGGTAGTTTGTAGTGTTTAGACTTACTCCTCTGTGAACAGCAGGTACAATTTATGTCATCAATTATTCATTTTATAGTTCAAAAATTTTACTTTCATTGAACTGAGTCTGTGGATATGCAGGTGAAGGAGTATTACCTATGTGACAGGAGAATGATCATGCAGGCATACTGAGAATAACTGCTTTTTACTAATGGACTCCTGGAGTCAGTTCAGCACAGCTCCTATTAACTCTGAGAAATTGCTTATTGGGTGCCTTGGACAGTTTTCTCTGTCTCAGCCTATATTGTAGTCTGAGCTGGTAGCTCTTCTTATTATGAAGGTTATTTAACACTTTCTGTTGAAGTCATCTGTTTTCTGCTGCTTAAATTTTTTTCCAAATTAGTGCACTCAGACTGCAGTTTTCCCTTTTCTGCGCCTGCCTCACATTTTTTTGTATTTCAGATTAGTGAGGATTATTCAGTTGCTACCAGGCCTAGTGCCTTGCACATAACTAAACATGATGCCTCTTCGGTTTTGGAAAGCTGTAGTGCTCCCATTCATTGGAGCAAGGCTTTGGAATTTGGCAGACAATAGCTGTTGAACAGGGATATGCCTTCTGCTGTTCTTGAGAAAATTTGCCCAAATTAGGCAAACTTGTAAGTCTTTAGAAAAATACCACTTTGCAAGTACTCAGTGAAGATATTAGCGCTGAAGTCTTCAGAAGTTCCAGTGTGTGCTGAGTGCGTTTTGGCCTTGGAGGGGTTTTTGTGGGACAAGATGATGCAGTCACCCACAGAATAGTTGAACATGCCTCAGTCTGGTCCTTGCAAGAGTGCAGCCAGACTTTCCATGTCATGGCTGCTCAAGGCCAGGGTGGAGTCAGGCAGCCTCTTGTGCGCTCAGACTCCTTTATTGGCGCCCAGCGGTGCGGAGGAGGAAGCTGGCTGGAACGCAGTCCCGCATGGGTGGGGTCTGGGCCGTATTAAGGGAGGGCAATGTGGGTCAGTGAGTTGGGAGAAAGTGGACTACAGCTAGGAGGGAAAGGGGCTGAAAGACATGGCTGTGCCGAGTCCCAATAAAGGTCCATCTGACACTTCCTTGATGGTAGCAAACTGGTTCTTCTCTTGTTACGCTCACCTGAGAGTGAGGAATGGGGGGAGAGGTGCTGTGGTCAGAGAGGAACCTAGCTGATGCAAGAGACCAAATGTGGTGGGGAAGAAAAAGTAGAGCTCAGACTAGCATCTAGTTACAGAAACTTGGAGCTGCTTGTCTAGGAACCATTCCTGTGATTGGAGTGCCAAGAATGATGGGAATGGGGTTGTTTGAGGAGAGACAATTTGAGTTGGCAGTTCTGATTCTGAACTTGGGGAGGACGAGAGAACTGGGATTAACTGGGCAAAGGAAACAGCAGAAAAGAGCTCAGGAGGAGAAAGGGAGTTTAAACAAAGAAGCCAAGGAACCGGTAACAAGGAAACAGCTTGGATAAAGAGCATGTGGGGGGAGCAGGATTGGACTCTGGTGTAGGACAGGTGGGACTGTGACTTGCTGTCAGACAGGACGTGCAATGGGATTAGTGCATTAGGAACGGCAAGTCAAGAGTTTGATGTGATCAGGAGAAAGTGTGGTGGGTGCACAAGGGGAAGAAAAAAGCATGGGGCAAAGGATGAAGATTAGATAATAAATAAAACAGAAGAGTAGTGAAGGGACCTAGCAGTCCTCTTTTGCGTGCTTGGTTTTGTAGCATTGCTATTTTTATGAGACTTTTTCCATGTCATATTTAAGTGGAGTTGACTTACTGGTTTGAGTGTATGTAAGTTGATTTCTGTGGTTGCATTTTGCATCTTTACTCACTGTGGAAGGATATTTGACCACAACCCCAAATGAGAGCTTTATCCAGAACTGTGTGCACTGCTGTTTTTCATCTGCTTATTCTGTGCAGAAAGCTTTGAGGAATTGTTTAGCAAATAGGTTTAAAATGCATTTAGATAATATTTTTCACTCTGCATTATGCTTTCTCTTATGCAGAGATAAATACTTTAACAGGTTTATCTTGTATTTACAAAAGGAAAAAAATGATTGGCATGCAGCAGTGAGCGAATGGAAGTGTGTTTTCTCAAACAAAAGTTAAACGGGGAAGGGAAATATTTCTTGCTCTCCTGAGGGCTGTTGATCTGTCAAATGGGGGTCTTATAGGAGTGGCATTCACTAAGAATGTGTAACTAAGGCTTTGTTGTAGTAAAAGAAAAACTGGCAGTGGATGAACCGGGAGAGCTGTGACAGAACACTACATAAATATTTTTTCACCTATCCTGCCTGTCTCCCAAGTTTAACAGTCTGAAATACTTTTGTTCGTGTGTTGTCACTGGAAAAGCCTAAAAATAAAGGGTGAGAGGAGAGGGTTGTATATGCTGGTGAAGAGCCTTTATTTCCTTACAACTCTTCGGAGTTGTGAAACATCTGTGTTTCACAGAGGATGCTTTTTGGCATATGTTCATAACTTAACATGTAAAAGCTGAAAAACTGTGTAGCACAGCTTTACTTCGGTTTTTGGTGTGCAAAAAAACTCTAAGCAAACATTTCAGTAGCGTATATATTGGTTAGTAGCTTCTCTGCTACTTTGCTCAAAGACACTGTCAATGAGCTGATCAGAAAGGCTACATTCTCCTGAAGGACAGACAGCATACCCACGGTGATCAAGGCATTCAACGCTTAAAGATTATTGTTGCATGCTTTACCTGAAAAACAAAATTGTAAGCTGAGCAACTGCACCAGCCTATCCTTTAGGTAATGAGAATGCGTATCACATGACATGTGTGACTCGGTTCCTATTTAAATCAGTGCCCTGGGGATTTACAGCCTTATTTTTGGAATGGGGGGGATAGCTAGGTTCCAACTCTATTTAAAGACAAAATAATGTTTCTCTAGCTGTGTGGCTGCATGCAGTCTTCTGAGATGCAATGAAGTAGCCCAGGAAACAACCCTGGAAGGGTGGAAGCATGCATGAATTCCTGGTAAAGCACGATATGAACTGTGAGCACCTCTACACCTCCTCTTCTGGATAATTGTGGGCTGTTTTTTCTTTTTGCGTTGTGGCTTTTGCTCTGATTCTTGTCTGCGTCATCCTTATACTTGTATTATGTATAAAATTGTTGAAAGCTCCTTTTCCAGAGCTTCAGTACGGTTGACATGAAACTGCCTTGAAATAGGAAGGCTGTAATTGTTGGAAGAAGACAATTTTTGCAAGAAATGTGCTGTTGTGAAACACATGCACCTAATTTAGGCATCTTTGGAGACTGAGATCTGCATAGCTGTTGATGCTTGTCGAAAATACTTAGTCTTGAATAGAAAGCTTGCATATCATAGTGCCAACATCTAATGTTTGTGGGAGTGTGTTGAATTGTTCCAAGTAACAAAAGCCTTCGCTGAGCTAAACAATATAAATATAAATATTTCACTTGGTTATTAGCAGTTGAGTTGAAGTACTTGATGGTTAGGAACAGCATAACAAAGTAGTGCACTCCATTCACACAAAGGTCAGAAGAGCTTTTCTTTTATATGATATGTATGGTTTTCATGCATACAATTACAGCAATTTGTATTGACTTGAATGTTGAATCTGTTGTTGGCTTGGTATCTTTTGTGGTTTGCTTGTGGGTTAATCCCTGGGAACAAAAAAAAAATCTGGAATATTGACAGAGCAGTAAAAAGCTAGAATCCATGCTTCTTGAAGAGTTGAACAAGTAAAAAAGTGTCAAAATAGCGGAAATTCAGAACCTATTTTATAATTAGAATGCAAGAATTAAGTGCTTTTTTCTTTCTTCATGATACATCGGCGCATGCGGTGTTTGGAAGTTGTTGGTCAGTGGGGCAATGTTGATTTCCCTCTGGGGGCAAGGCATTCATCTAACCTTCTCAGCAGGGGGTGAGATTGATTCCTTAATCAGAATAGCAACAATCCATCCTGAAGCTTCCTCAAGGTATTAGGGCTAAATTAAACAGTCTGGGACTAATGTGTAAGCCCTAATGCACTTCAAGAGGCTTTCTTGGATAAAGAGAATTTTGAAAATAATCAGAAGATGAACCCAAAACTAAAAGAAAAAAGCCACAGGCTCAAATCACCCTTAAAAAAGGGGACTGTAATATTCTTTCTTTGTGTGGTGCAGTGCTTAATGCTCAGATTCTTTTAGGGAAGAAAAGAAAAAATGCATGAACTATATAGCTCTATTCATGGCATTGCATTTGTTTTCTCTCTTTTGTGTATGTGTTCCATAGCTGTTCCAAAAATAGATATGGTCACAAATATTAAATTAGTAGAATTAAGCATCTTAAAGCCAGGAAATACACCATTTTTTAACAACAGTCACTACTGAGGAAATGCGGATTCCTAAGCATACTGTATTATGTCTTAATTTTGCAGAATTTTAAGATTGTGTTTACTTGTGTGCATTTACAGAGGGTACAATTATGTTTGAATTTCTTGAGGATAAAAATGTCATGGTTGCATTCAGCTTTTCTGGAAATCCTTTCATTAACTTGAATGAGGAATGGAACAGTATGACTGAGCTTTAGTCTGTGTATTAAGTGCTCGTAAGCAAGAATTAACTGTAATGTCAGTAACCTTGTTGGATATGCTTACTGATCATTATGAATGCCATTCATATACCGGAGTACTAAAAAAACGTGGGGTAGACCACATGACGTTCCTTCAGTCTTGCTCTTAGTTCTTAGCCACTTTGTCTCGGTCCATCTCAGTCTGCACACCAAGTCAGGTAAGCAGTAATTTTCTTTTTACAGACTACTGGAATCCTTTACAAATATATCCAGAAGGCGTGAGGACTTTATAAAAGCTGGAATGTTTTAGGGTGACTCTTTGTTAATAATCTCTGTGAAGACATACTGAATGTCCCTGGTCACCTTAAAGACCTCTGACTTCAGAATGCTCTGCCGAAGTATTCTACCATAACATAAACTTCTTTGGTCCTACCGGTTCACGGCCCACCAGTTTGTGTTAGCAGCCAGAACTCCATTATTTGGGGAGATGGGTTTAAACTTTAGGGTTTGTGAAAAATAAGCTCTTTCCCTTTCTTGGCCGAGAGCAATAGCAGTTTCAGTCAACCTTTGGACCAGAGTTGTAGCTTCCAAAGACTATTTTAAGCGGGACGTATTGTCATTATGACAACTGAAGAGCACCGAATGACCTTATTGTCCTTGCTGTGGGAGGGGATGTTCTTGTCAAATTGTGAGAAATTCCCTCACCCTCTGTGTACATAGGTAAGCACGCATTTGTTTTCCTCTTTCCCCCTCCTGTATCAGTCTGGTTCAGAGACCAAGCTTGCTTTCCCTGCTTGGCAGATAAAACATCTAGTAGATTCAAGTCAATATCCTCTTTCATATTTTTTAGATGATTCAACTGCTCATCAAGCAAATGGTCTATCCCTGTGTTATAGAATAGTTGGGGAGTCATGGGACATTCAGGGAACTGTGCCCAGAAGCTCCAGTTGCTGTATGAAGATCAGTAGCTCTGATCCATCCAAGTCAAAGGTTGGACAGGAGGTTCCTGTTTGTTCTTCAAACAAAGCCATTTCTTCTCTGTTTGAGTGCTCTTTAATCCAACAGACAAAGCTGCAGCAATGTAATGGATGAAAGCTGAAGTAAGCAAAGCATAGATACGAGGAAGAGTGAAAGGGGAAGAGGAGGAAGGCTGGCTCATCGTGATTTTTAATAGAGGGAGTTGATACAGATTGCCAAGGGACTGGTAGACTTTCTGTCAGAAGGAGCAGCTGTGTAATATTGAGATTAGAGTCTCTAGGTCCACTGGAAGCTTTGGGGATCCTTGGTCCTGTTGTGCCAGCGGTCACGTGGGGTTGCTGCAGCAGTCACCCTTCAGCTGTGGGCTCTTCCTCTCGCAAAGCTTACAAACATCTGAGCTCCGGTTTGTCAATCCTGCAGAGCACTTTAATCTGTGTCACTGCTCTGGATTGCCTGTGATGGTATTGCTGGATGCCTACAATAGTGACTCATTCATTTTGGATATGATGCTCTTATTTCTTGCAGTTGCTTTCTGAGTAAGCATTTCTGAGCATGAGCATTCGGAAGATTTATTTTTGGGTTTTTGTTTTTTTTTTTTTTTCCTAAGGCAGTTCAGTTTACCTAATAACTGTATTTAACTCCAGATTTGGAAGATGATATCCTATATTTTGCATTCACATTAAAAAGAAAATAGAACAAGGAGTATTTTTTTTAATCTTCCTGTCCTGAGATAAAATGTTAATTACTGTTGTATAAATGAGACAATATATGTTAACATCAAATATTTCAAAACACAGATATAAAATTTTGTAAACGTGATTTTCTTCAGCCTAGACAGAAAAGTACAATGGAATAGGAATTATAAAGGTGGCAAGAAAGCAAAGATATGAAAAGTTTATGTAACTTTGGGGATTTTATCTGTAGTGAAATTTATTTTTGCTTAAATTACAGCCTTTTAATTTTAGAAGATAAACTCATGAGACTTATTTTACCTTGCCACTACTATCACTTCTAATATGAAGCCCTTATCATAAGCTTCATCTCGCAAAGCACTTGCACTGGTGTAAAATGTTGCTTAGACTATTTATCTTTATTAGTGTATCTGTTATTTTAGAAATTGCTTGTATTTTTTACCATTGTTCAACTAAATCACATTTTATAAAAGACCAAACCTTATTCTTCAGCCCTTAACCTTATGAGTAATTTCAATTATTTCAGTGCAATTAAGAGCTGAAGCCCTGGGCTTTTTGTTTATGCACCTGTTGTGTCTGTTTGTATTACGGGTCTTCGTCTTTTTTTTTTTTTTAGGTTAATAAGAATTTTAGATCATCATGCTTAATTTAGTAATGCTGACTCTGCTCTCCAAACATCTGTCACTCCTGTTTGCATCAATGTCTGTGCAAGGCAGGGCAATGTTCAGAACCTTCGGTCTCATTTCAGGCACATGTTTTTCTAAAGCATTTGTATCTCTAGTATCCAGACTAATAAATTTTTCTCCAGTACATGCAGATGCTTTACACTTCAGTCTTGAGCTCTGGTAAAGTAAATTTTCTCTTTTCTGATGTTCTGCAGCAGGACCAGTTGTTTTGTTAATATCCCATTATCTTCCACTGTCCCCTCATGCATCTTACTTTTCATGAGTAATTATTTATTCTCAAAGACACTGTTCTCTTTTGTCTCTCTTGCATTACTCATAAGATTAACTGATCTCACCATGTACTTTAGAATTTGCAATGTATGTTTCCAAAAATGTCAGCTAAAGTGCAGTGTGATAACCTCTTGCAGGCTTGAGTTGCCAGCTCAGGAAGTATCATGTTTAATGAAGGAAGGTGTCTTATAGATCAATTGAATATACCAAGTGTCATAGAAGCAGCAAATAACTTTGATTATAAGACTGCAGAGCACTGGAAGGAGGCTTGCTGATAGTAACTTGGTATTTTACTATAAAGGGAAAACTTTAAAAAAAAAAAAAAAAAAGGTCTTTTGAGGTGGGAAGTTTTCCCAGGTTACATTTGCTCTGATGAACTGTAATGTCCAAAGCCAACATCTCTTGCAGAGAAAATGAGAGCTTTGCCTTTAATATCTTCTGCTGTGAAACTAAATGCTGTAGTACCACCTCATTCCAGTAATAAATGAGTTAGAAGTGCATCTAGCAAGACTCTTGAGGAGTGCCTCAGTGTAATTTACAGGATGTCAACCCTTGTAGCACTCAAATGTCTACTGTTTTAATAAATGCATTGCTTAAAGTGTTGTGCTGTTCCAGAAGTCCCACGTACTTTTAAAATTTATTTTATGAACCTGGGTGGAGTTGTCATAGCAGTTGTTGCTGGAGATCCCATCCCCATTGTGCTCGGTAGGCATCGTGCAATCCAGGTGTTGATGGGCCCTGTCTTGCAAATTGTGTAATACGATTTCAAGACAAACAAGATTAGAAGGATGGAGCGCGTGTCACTCAGGGACGTGGAAATCATACACAGGTCTC